CCAAGTAGCTGGGACTACAGGCGCCCGCCACAACACCTGGCCATTTTTTTTTTTTTTGGTTGCAGCCATCATTGTTGTTTGGTGGGCCTGGGCTGGGGATTCGAACCCGCCACCTTAGGTGTATGTGGCTGGCGCCTTAGCCACTTGAACCACAGGCGCTGAGCCGGGTTGTGAGATTTTTATATTCTTTTACCCCACCCAGTCTCTGTCTGCAGGTAAACCAGACTCATTATCCTGGCTCTGTGATGGCATCACTGTCTCAATTCTCAAAACACTAGGGTCCTTCTGACTCCCTTGTGCCGCTTGCACAATCAGGCATCAAATATAGACGTGTATTTCTTAAAAGTTCTCCTGTCTTAGCACAGACTGCCATAACAAGACACAACATGCTCCACGGCTTCAGCAACAGAAGTGAATTTTTCACAAATCTGGAGGCTGGGAGGTCCAAGATTAAGGTGCCACCTTCTTGGCTCCAGGTGAAGGGCTTTTCCTGGCTTGCCAATGCTGCCTTTCCTCGGCAGGTGCTCTCGGCAGGGGAGCTGGTGAGGGTGCTACTCCTTTCATTCTTCCCCTCAGAACCTCATCTAATCCTAATTGCCTGGAGAAGTCCTGTCCCTAAATACCTCACCACTGGGGGGAGGTGTTTAAACATTCAGTCCCCAACACCCTCCTGTTTGTGGCCCTTCACTGGCTTGGATGACTCGCTGGGCTCCCTGGCTCCCCAGCCTGTACCATGTGAGTTAAAATTCCTGCTGTGGCCTACTCTGGGGCTGGTGGAATTGGCTTTTCCTTCTTTCCCCCTTAGCCTCTTCCCAGTCCCACAGCCCCCAAGTGTCCTACAACTCAGGAACTGACTGTGCCAAGCTCTCCTGACACAGATGGGCCCATTTCTCCTGAGTTCCTGGGGATTCGTTGTCCGGGCTCTTTCCTTAAAGGTGCCAGTGCCTGAGTGACCCAGGGGTCTACAAGATGGAGTGCACAAAAAAAGGATAGTGCATCTATCTGGGCCATCTCACCAGAAGCCGGATGGTACATACTTGAAAACCCAAGCCAGCAGGCTCCCATCTCTTCAGCCAGTTATGAGAAAGGAGGAGGGGTGACTACCTTAGTTCCTTGAGTCTGAGGTGTGCATTTTAACAACGTCTACCTCAGAGCAGTTAGTGGCATGTTATAGTTTAATTGGAAGTGTTTTTTTTCCCCTCTGTGGTCCATTTTACAGTTGACAGGGTCTTAGATTCTGTAAGCTGTAAATCTCAAGGGCTGGTCCTGACTGTAGGAAAATTCCTAAAATACATCCAGTGTGCTACTATGCAACTTAAATTATATGATGCCAGTTAGGAAAGAATAGAGAAATAGAAGACTTGGTCTTGTCTCCCTAAGCCCTTCCTATAATACTTCATTTGTGAAACAAGCCTAAGAGAAAAGCTATAAAAACTTGAGCACATGAGCGAGTGGAAACTGAAGGCTATAATCTGAGTCTCTATAAACATGGGGAGTCAGCAGGCCTGGAAGGCTTCCTGGAGACGTGACTTCGGGTTTAAAAGGAAAGGAAGAGTAAGTCAAAGGCCGGTCTGCCTCATCCTCGTCACAGGCACATTTCCACAAGGTAATAATTCCATTCCACCCAGAAGGAATCTGCTAGAACAGCTCCGGAACATCACGCCTGGGAGATCCACCACAGCACAGTTGACGTGGGCAAGGAAGGGGCCTCGGGCTGAAGAGATCGCTGCCCCTTGTGCATAACTGTTTTATTACCCAAGTCACCACCAGAGAGGTTGTCCACCAAGGATCAAATGTCTGATCAGTGTTGAAGGTCTCACCGACATCACAACGTTGTGGTTGGCACTGGGGACTCTGCCCTTCTGGGACAAGCCTAAGAGACCGTCTTCTTGTTTCCATGCAGCAGAATGGGGTGACACCAACCGGGTAGTCTGGGGGCCTGAACCCCCCGATGGAGGTCTCTGAGGCCATCTACACGCACAAGAGGAAAGCAAACCTCCAAACCCACCCGAAGGGTGATGCCACGTAAGCCAGAGCACCCCTCTCCTCTACAGACCAGTCCTGATGGCCTTGGCCACAACCCAGTGCCAGGAGGGCCCTGCCTCAGGTTATCCAGCGGCCAGGACACACGCTCCCACAGAAGACGCGCAGTTCCACGGCGGGTAGCACGGGGAGAACGCCCTGTTCTTGGTAAGGGACGGGGCGGTGTCGTGGTCTGGGGATTGTGGCCCCAGTTCTCTGTTGTCTGGAGTGGACTGTGGACCCCACACCCTCACATGCAGAAGGCCAGGAAAAGGCGATATTTATCCAGCACTTTCCGCGCATTCCGCTCAGTGCCTTCCTGCATTAACTCAGTCCTTGCCATCCATATAAAGCAGGCTTGTGCCGCAGGGCGACTGAGGCACAGAGAGCGGAAGGGCTCGCCCAGGGTCGCAGAAGCAGAAGACAAAGGACGGTGGGAGGGGGCCGGGCAACTGGTCTCCAGCCTCCGGGGCTCTGCGGACAGCGCTGGCCATATAAGGCCGCGGGCGCGTCCAGGGCGTCTTTAACCCTCGCGGGGCCCGCGAGCAGACGCCTCCGCGCCCAGGAATGTGTGGAATCTCCGTCAGGGCCCGCGCACCGCAGGGAGCCCCTCCTGCCCCCCGCCCGGGCCCGGGTCGGCCCGAGCCCCGGGAGGCCGGGCGCCGGCGCAGCACGGCGGGCCGGAGCGGCCGCACCTGCCCGGGTGCGGCGGGAGGGGGAGGGGAGGAGGACGGCCGGGAGACGGCCGGGGAGGAGCCTGGCGGGGCGGGAGCTGCGGTGCAAAGTGAAACTCCTGGAAGTTGCCGTCGCGGGCAGCGCGCCCTCGGGCTGGAAGCGGCCCGGGTCTCCGCCGCCCATGGCCCTGAGCAAAGGGCTGCGGCTGTTCGGACGCCTGGAGGCCGCGGGGGAGAGCAGCGTCCTGCTAGAGGCGCGCGGCCGCGGCGACTGCCTGCTCTTCGAGGCCGGCACGGTGGCCACGCTGGGTGAGTGCCGCGCCGCGTCCCCGCCTGTCCTGCCCGCGGGGCGGCGACGCCCTGGGGAGACCGCGCCTGCTATCCAGGGCACTTGGGAAGATGGGGAACTTTCCTCCCTTCCCCGAGGTGACCAGGCTAGAGCAGCGCGGGGACCTCCAGTGCTTGGGGATCGTGCCAAGGGGTGGCTTTTTAAATGAAATGGCGCGGGGACATGGGACAGCACTTCCCCGGGCTGGTGGCTCACAGAGGCGGGCGGTTCCTGGCCACTGCCGGGCGTCACCGAGGGTTCGGTTCTTGGGGAGGCGGCTCTGACCTTTTTTACACCTGGCCCTGGCCGGGCAAACTCGCATTCATGACGGTCCCGGGAGGTTGACTTGGAGCCAGCCCCCGTGTGCCTGGGGGACTTGTCTTTTGCACAAGTTGGTGAAACCAGTGATTACTTGGGTTTGTGTTGGCTGCCACGGGGACCAAAGCACGAAAACATACATAGACTCAGAGAAACTGCTGGTGGTGTTACCAGAGTCTGGCAGCCTGTCACTGTCAGCCAGTAAGTAACAAACGCAGAGATAGGAGAGGTCTCCAGACTATTGTCAGAAGGATGGTGATTCTGGAGAACCCTGAGAGTAGCCTAAGACTGTTCTCTTCTCCCATTTCCAAAACCACAGTTTTGTACATGAAAGTTCAAAGCAAAAACCATGTTAACCCTTATCCTAAACAACAATAATGACCCATAAGAAACAATAATCAGCATAACCCATGACACAAAACAGCATTTCTACTTAAAAAGTTAATCAGTGGCCTTAAATTACTCATGATATACACTTTTAGATTATAGTTGAATTTACAAAACAACAAGAATTGGCAACCTGAGGGGAAGGTCATGCAGGACCTAAACTGGCCAGACCAGCTGTGTCTTCTCAGCCTTAGCCTGCCAGACTCCATCATATTCTTACTACATGCTGTACATCTCACTGACACCTTTGTCTCATGTAAATACTTGGTTGAGAAGCCTCAACTGTAAGCAAATATACTACTTAGTGACTCTACCTTTGTGCTGGGTGTTAGGTGAGGCCAAGCCAGCGTATTGCACCTACAGGTTTCAGAAGCTTTGAGACTGCCATTGTGCTAAGGGCTTTAGAGACATAATTGCATTTAATTTTCACAGTTCTACAAAAGACCTATTATTATCCCCATATTACAGACGAGCAAACCGAGGCCTAACAAGGCCAAGAAACTTGCTTGCCCAAAGTGATACAGTTCACCTGACTTCTAAGGGACTAATTCTGTAATGTCATTCTTGACTTCCTGGTATGACCAAACTCCTGGTCCCTTGTTTTGTGGCAAACATTCATGGGGAAGACCCAGGTAGCACCAAAGCAGGTGAAACCTAGTAGGTTGTTAGGATTTTAAATGTGAACACCAGGGAATAGGCTTAACACCAATAGGTGTCCAGCTACTCTCTCCTTCTAGTATTCTTAGCAAAGCTCAGAGCAGGGTCACTAGTACTTTAGGTGGTCAGCAAACGTAATAGGCATATGCGTGCACAGTGCTTTAGGGAAAAAGAAAAGAAAAGTCTCTATAGTCTGGTTGCATGAGCTCCAGTTCTAGGAAGGACCATGTCTCTATTTCCATTTTCAGGATCATTTCATTAACATGTAGTTATCTGGCTTGTTTTCAGTCACCTGATTATTGAAACAATGTCTCCAGTATTCTTAGCTCAAAAATGTGGAGCAAATCATGGATTAATTTATTTTCAGATTATTCCAATTTGTGCTCTGTCCTAAAAAGTCCAAGTTTGGTCATTTGGTTTGGCCTTGAAAAAAAAAAACCACAGAAATTTTCATTTCATTTTAGATGTCTACTTCATACAGTATTTATTAGAACCAAGAGATTAATTTTTTTTTTCTTCAGTTTTTGGCTGGGGCTGGGTTTGAACCTACCACCTCTGGCATATGGGGCTGGTGTCCTACCCCTTTGAGCCACAGGCGACCCCCAAGAGATTAATTTTTGATAAAAAACTACTGTTTCATCAAAGAGATTAAAATGTGCTTCAGTTGGCAGGATTCAAACATATTTAAGAGTTCCTTTGAAGCTGCTTAGGAAAAACATTTTTTTCAAAAGTAAGATTTAAAAATGATTAATGAAAGTGATATAATGCACATCTTCCATTAGGAAACGCGAAGGCTGGGTTGAGATGTCTTTACGTTTGTTGGCTATTACAGCACTCTGGCTTTTACAGCAGAGAGTGTAATGAAAGAATTTGGCACATCTGCAACTCACGTGCAGTCCACATGTTACTTAACCTAACATTTGTTTTTTAGTAGACTGTGGGCTGAAAAGTTCATTTTTTAAAGTCTATTTTGCTTAAGTGAAAGGAAATTTTTAAAGAAGCAACTGTAGCATGTAGTGGTCTTTTGGCTCAGAGGAGGATTGTAGGAGAGTCTTAGGGTACCAGAAAGTTGTTTAAAACTTAAAATATCCTCAGTGTATTGCTATTGGATAGAATAGCTCTGAACTTGAAATTCCCATCTGTGCTCCAAGGGACTAGCTAGCTTTTTTGCTTTCCTTTCCATGACAAGGTCAAGAGTACTCTCCTTTTTTAATAAGAAGGTTGTGATCTGTCCTTTTGTGTGGCACAGTACACTGTGGCTACCCACATATTTCCTTGAGGTGGAGGGTGGGAAACAGCTTCTTTGTCTCCCCAGCTATGGTTTTCCTGCTCCCCAGGGAGCAGCGAGAGACTGAGGATAAAGTTAGGGGTTATTGTCAGGCCACCGAGTGACTCCAGATTCCACCTACCTCTGCTACAAGTGCACACACTGCTTCTGCTGGGAGCAACAGGAGGTTTAGGGGAGTCACCCAGTAACTCTAAGCAGGTGCCCTTCTGACCCTGGGTGTGCAGTCCCTACAAAGCATATTTCAGCCTTGAAGGATCCTAACTTGAAAAATGCGTCTCACTGAAGGGGTTCAGCGATTCCCTAGTATTTTCAGCAGTGTATGGAAACAGGATCTTGAACTGCATTGAGAGTGTCGGGAAAGATTGATTGTCTGTGATTGGTTGATTATTGGATTCCTCCTGACCTAACCTGTCCTGTCCTGTTCTAACCTGTCCTCCTGTTCTAATATGAACTTTGCACACTAGGCCATCTGGCCTTCTAGGCAAGAGGTTTGTTGAAGGAATAATTCTAAATTCCTCCTTCTAAAGGAATTAGGTTGAGAATCTGTCTTTTCTGTGGATCAGTGGGAACAGAAATTCCAGGGACAGAAAAGCAAAACATACTGGCACCAGATTGAAAGGTTTTTATAGTCTTCTTGGTGACCCGGTTCAAGGGTAGGAGGCTTCTCCAGTGCTGGTGCAAAGCCATGGCAGGTGGCAGCATCCTGTGCCCACTGTCCACAGTTAGTGGACAGGTATTCACTTATGTGCACACTTTTGTCTCTCTGTCTCAGGGTAGACCAGATGAAAGGAAAGGTGCTTATTGTTAATGGGTTTATGTATTTTGAGAGTGAGTGTCAATGCTCCAAAGTTCAGTGTTCTCCGGACAGCCCCCAGGAAGGGTGGCACCGGAGTCTCCCACGTGGACTTATATGTAAGTGGAACCTTCCTGGAACCTGCCTCCTCCTCCTGAGTTGCCATTGAGCTATAGGAAGGAAAGGAGAGACAAAGGAGGCTTGAGAGACTTAATTACATTAATTAGTGAGTGTCCCTGAATTACTTCGAGCTTCTGGGGAAAGGTTCCACATAAACTCCAGGCCTGGTTTCTCCCCGCTGCTCTGTCCATCCAGAGGCCACGTGGCTTTGTTTGCATTGGCGAGATGGTCACAGGGCCTTTCTCATGTCCTCAGTTTTTGTGGGATGGGATTCCATCCCTGCCTCTGATGGCTGATTCTGGGGGCTGGGGTTCTCTGCTCCGGGTGGGTGTACTGTTTTGCCCCAGGACACCTGGCAGGAGGCACCATCATGGGTCACTATTGTGCCCAAGTACGGGAGTATGCCTGGCAGGTTGCCACATGCTTGTGAAGCTTCTGTTTCCGAAGTGACAATTTACGGGAGGGTACCAGCCCTGGAGCAGGTGGGCCACTCATGCTGGTGGCACAGGACATGAATTCGAGGGTCTGACAGAATCCCCAAACAGGTTTTCAAGGAACTCTTCTATCCTGTAGCTCTGTCTATTTCTGTTTGGCCTCCTGAGCCTAAGGACAACATTGCCACTGGCCTGCACTCCTGGCTCCCAAGGTGTCAGCCAGCCACTATTCTGTCTCAGGACATGTCCTTGAGAATGGCCTCATCCCTCATTCTTCTGCATGACTTGAGGCATCACAGGTGCTAAGAATAAAGACAGATGTCCCCAGGGTCCTTTAGGTCAGACTGTGGCCTCCAGGTGCTTTCCTTGCTTGGTATTGAGGTAGGCCCTGGGGGTGAGTGAGGTCGAAGCAGGTGAGTTCCCTGGGGAGCATTTGGTTAACCCCTCCAGGCCTCAGAATCTTAATCTGAAAACAAATGAATTACAACCTATATTGCCTTTCCTACTCTGGGATTCCAAGTGTCTTCGAAAGAAAAGGCTTAAAACTAAGCGTAAGCACCATCATGACTTCGCACACTTAAAATTATAAAACTACCTAGAAACTTGAATCTTAGGAGAAGCAGTTTGGCAAGGCAGACTCTGATGACGTTGAGGTCTGAGCTAAGCCTGGAAATCTGATGCTGTGCAATTTTAGGGGATGCTGTGGATTAATGAAAATAAATGAGATTCTCTCTGCTTGGTTCTGCTGCTTCATCCAAATAACAAAGAATTATAAAACACAGTAGCAATTCAAGCTTAAATTGAGAACACAAAGTAAGGTATTTATTAAATTATGATGAACTATGCTAATTCCACAGCTGCTTTAGCGACTCTCCTTAAGAGCCATGCTGTTCTTAAAATTATACTTTGCATGATTGAATAGCAATTTGTTTTTAATAAGCTAGACTGTCATTTGGCTAGAAAGTGGGGAGTTTGTGTGTCTGG